GAGGAGCGGAAGGCCCCAGACACTGGGGGTCACGGGGGGGAGGAGGAGAGGAAGGGCCCAGACACTGAGGGTCGGGAGGGGAAGGAGGAGAGAATGGGCCCAGACACTGGGGGGTCGTGGGGGGGGATCAGGACTTGCTACCTCCCTTCCAGGCTGCTGCCCCCTCTCCGCACTCTGCTGGCTTTGGGTCCCCCCATGCTGCCACCCTAGGGCCTAGGCCCCACCCAGCCCCCCGCCCTTCTCTTCCCCCACCCTGCTGCCCCCTCCTCCCCCCACTCTCAGATGCCCCAACACCCCCCTGCTGCCATTCTCCTCCCCCCCCCCAGGATCCCCCCCTTTCGTTGGGCAGGAGAGACGGGGGTGGGGGAACCGACAGAAGGAAAAAATGTTTCCGAGAGGGAAAGTTCAGGCCTGGGGGGGGGCTCCTTACAGCCACCCCAACCAGGGCTGGGGGGGTGATATCCCTCCCTACAGCAACCCCATATCTGCCCCTCCCCCCAGCCATTCCCAGTGCCCCCTCACTATGTCTGTCCCCCCCAGCCAGTTACTACTCCTCCGTCTGTCCCAAGGGACCCCCCCTTCCTGCCCCCCCCCGGCTTAGGTGAAGGTGATGGGGGGAGGGAGATTAAAATGTTACACAGCGGGTGTGTGAAGAAACACAACTACACAATGGGCACAGAGAGACACCACTACACACTCACACCAACAACCCCACACACACACACCAGGGGGAGACACAACTACACAACTGCCTATACACACAACCTGGGGGGACGGACACAGATACACAACTATATGCACTCACACACACAACATACACACACACCCCTTGTGGCAGGAAACACAAGTACACAACTGTATGCAACACACGGAGCTATACACCTGCACACGCACACACCCTACTGGGAGACACAACTGTACAACCCCCCGCCACACGCACACACACAACACAGGGCCAGAGCGGTGCGGACCAGGCACATGCACCCCCCCCCCCCCGAGTCCACCCCTCCCATCCCGGACGTCAACCCTGTGAAGGGAGGAAGGGGGTGCAGGGGGGAGTGCAGGAGACACGGAATGAA